GTCAAGGAAGAGATAACCCTCCATCTTACTGACTCAAACTGTTCCAGAGGAAAAGAAGAATTCCCCAACTCATTTTATGAGGCTGGAATGTCACTGATACCAAAACTGGACAAGAATAGTCAACAAGTAAAATTATAGACCAATCCTGCTTATGAACACATATAAAAACCTAAATAAGTATTAGCATCAAGTCCAGTAATATATAAAAAGTTCATATGATATTTCACCAAATTGAAAATGTCACTGATTATAAGATACACCATTATTTTTATTCTAAGAAAGAAAAATGCTGTTACTTCAGCCATAATGTAATGTGTCCTTATCACTTGCACATTTTATTTTATACTCGCTGAAGGAGCTTTTTAGAGTTACTTACACAGATTTTTATCATCTATCATTCTTATATATTCTTAATGAGGAAAACATTAGCAAAGTTAATACAGTAAGATCTTCATATTGAAGTCCAACTCTTCTAAATCACTTTTCAACTCAAGGCCTTTGATATCTATTCCTGCCATCCAGAGGGGGTAGCATATAACATTTCATGTAAGAGTTTCTACTCTGGCATTTTCTTCTAAGCCACTGACACGTATCTGTAGAGTTCTGATGCTAAAATTTTCTTTACTTTACCAGAAGATAAAAACAAAATTTTCAGGCAACAGTCAAGACTCCTATTTCTTCCTCAAATGGTCCTTAAAGGGTTGTTGACTAAAACACTAAGGAATTACAGGGTAACCAAGTTCAAGGAAGAGCAATTAGAAGATGCCACTGACTGTTGAACATATTCTAATTATAGAAATGTGAAAATGTGAAAAATCTGAATCTCAGAAGTAACAAATACGGTATGTCACAATCAAAGAGGATTTTATCTCAGGAATACAAGAATAGTTTAACATTAGAAAATGTATAAAAGTAGGTCACCACATTAACACATTAAAGAAAAAACCCAATGTATGCAGAAAAGCATTTGATAAAATTCAACAATCATAACTTTTTGAAAAAAATCTCTTAGCAAAACAGAAATACAAAGGATCAGACTTAACCTTATATAGCTGACTACCTGCCAACATTTCACAACAAAAACAAAATAAACAAACAAAAAACCCAATAAAATGCCAGAAATATCTCCATTAAAGGCAAGAACAGGATAAAGGTGACTGTCATTGCTTCTATTCAATATTATACAAAAGGTCTTAGGCAGCTCAATAAAACAGAAAAATAGCAGAGATAGTACAAGGAGTAGAAAAGAAAAAAGAACTAAACTGTTATTATCAACCTAGATAATCCAAAATAAACTACAAACAAATAAGAGTTTGCACCATTGCACTAATAAGAGAGTGTAGCAAGGTTACAAAGTACAAAAGCCAATATATAAAACTCCATAGAGGGCCTACAGTACAGCAATGAACAATTTAAAAATACAATTTTTGTAAAAGATGGTATTTATAATAGCTTGTAAAATAAGATACATAGTAATAAATCTAATCAAAGATGTAATACATTTTTATAGGAAACACTTAAAGCTTCATTGAAAAGAAAGCATTTACTAATTAAAAAAAAACCCTGAAGCATTTAGTAAGACATAAATGAAGTGATATAAAATATTTATGAGTGAGAGGAATATATATATATACCCATTTCTACCTGAAATTATTTATAGAGTCACTGAAATTCTAAAATTCTAATCAAAACATATAACACAACAAGCTGATTCTAAAACCCATATGGAAGAGGGAAAAGATGAGGTCCAGGAATAGCCAAAACAATTTTGAAAAAAATAAAGGGGTTGGGGAAATCGCCCTACCACACATCAAGACTTTCCATAAATTTTAAGAATTAAAGCAATGTGGTATTGATACAGTAACAACCTACCAGACCAATGGAACAAAATATCTAAACAGAAACAAACTCAAGTAAAGAAAATTCCATCAGTCAAAAGGAATGCAACAGACCTTGGTATATGATAGAGGTGGTATCACAAATCAGCAGGTATAAGAATACTTGGTTAGCAATATGGAAAAAAAAATGATCTACAACATATACCACAGCACATAAAAATAAATTCCAGATGAATTAGAAGCCTAAATGTGATAAACTTTTAAAACTCATAAAATATAAGAAAATATTATTGAAGTAGGAATTTCCTGTAGAAGCACAAAAAAACAAACTAAAAAGAAAAAATGCTAAATTTCAGTACACAAAAATAAAAATATGTGCATCAAATTCTCTTGTGTACTTTTCAAAAGTGAAAAAGCTTTAATCTGGGAGAAAATATTGTGAAACACAGATAGATACCTAATAGTAATCAAAAACAAATTCAATGAAAAAATAGGCAACAATATGAAGAGATAATTTTACAGAACTGAAAACGGTCAATAGATTTATGAAAATATGTTCAGTTTCACTAGCAATCAAGGTAATTGCTATTAAAAGGAGATATAATTTTATACCCTTCAGATTGGCAAAAATTTAAAGTTTAAAAATACCAACACTTGGCAAGGTTGTAGAGACTTGGAACTACAGGGGAGAATGTAAACTGGTATAACCACTTAGTAAACATAAAGATGAGGAGCCCTAAACCCCAGCAATTCCATTTCTAGGTACAGTCCCTAGAAACACTCTCCCATATGTGCCCAAGGAGACACGTACATAGAAATTCAATGCCGTAATGTTCAAATGATGTAAAGTTAGAAATAACCTAAAGGTCCATCGATAGTAAATACATTATAGTATAGAAATACACTGGAATACTAGAAAACAGCTAAAATGGACGAATGTGAAAATTTCAAAACCGTATGTTCAGTAAGAAATAAAAGCAGCAAAAGTATATACTTTCAATACATTTTAAAAACCCCAAAATAAATTGTATCTTGTTGCAGGTATTTGCAAAAATATTAGAAGTTTTTTTTAAGTGCATAGGATGATATATATCAAAGACCAAAGAATACCTCTAGGTAGCCTTTTTTCTAGGGATAAAGGGTAGGAAAAGCATCTGATGAGGAGGGGATAGGAGAAGGTGGCAATATATTTTAAGCACTTAATAATTTAAACATTTCACATAGAAAAGGTCTGGCAATATGCATGATATACTTGTTTTAAAAGGCCTATCCTATAAAATAAGGATAGAGGCTAAAAAAGATGTCTGTTTATAATGGGAAAAAATTGAAAACAGAATTAGTTAAATAAATTGCAGAATAGCCATACAATGAGATGTCATGTAACCACAAAAAAATTACAAGTCAGAAGCGTAGATACTAACTTGGAAAGATGTTGACAACATACTAAGTGCGAAAAACCAGGCTGTACAACTATAGGTTCTCAACCAAGGCATTAAATGGTTAAATGAACTCTCCCCGACACGCACTAATAGGCCAAAGTTCCATTAATTCACCTGTCATATTTTAACCTCATCAATGTGCATCCATGGAAAGAAGTTAACTACAAGGAGCCTAAAAATAATAAAAAAGTACAATAGATCAATTCTGGTGTTTCAAAGAAGAAAGACATTGCTATAATACTTATATAGAATAGCTCCATTCAAAGCCAAAAAAAAATTATTTCCCAGTGTTGGTGCCAACAACCCCAACCCTTCCAGATGAGACCTGCTCTATCTAACCATCCAGTCAGAGAGCTACCAGAGTTAGCACAGTAGCGTTAAGTTGCTGATCATATATACCAAACAGCCAGGTAAAATATCATAAACTATATTCTAAATAAACTGTCAGGTATTAGTAAAACTCAAAGCTATACTCACAAAATGATGTCATATTTATTAGAGGAAAGAGTGGCAGCAGGAAGCTACTGAAGGAATTTTGAGAGAATAAAACATTTCGCCGTTACATTTATACCTTCTGATAAACTGGAAATTGACTTGGATGTTCTAAAATCTCTGCTCCATATTTTGTTCATTAAAAGTTGTCCAAAAAGTCTAAGAATCATAACAGATTCTATTTCAGGAAAACTGCAATAGCACACTAAGGAAACTGTTTCCTTTACTCACAACCTTTTGACATAAAATGTATGAGGGTTTTCCCATAACAACCAATTCTCCAACTCTCCAGACACCAACTGGGTATCTTACAATTCAATTCTGACACTAACTACCTAGAAGCAACGTAGATCCCACAGGTTAAGTGCGCAGGACCACAAGACTACCCACCACTTCAGACACCAATCACAAGTAGTGGGTCCCCATGTTACCCACACTTCTGTCCAATTTGGCCACAAATCAGGGGTTCCCATGACCTTCCCTTCATGTTTGATAATTTGCTATAACAGCTCACAGAACTTAGGGAAACAGACTTACCAGTTTATTAGAAAGATATTGTAAAGAATATAGATAAACAGCCAGAGGCACAGGTACATAGGGCGAGGACCTTAAGCGTCCTGAGTGCAGGCAGGAGCTTCTGTCCCCATGGAGCTGGAGTGTACCACTCTCCTGGCACAGATGTGTTCACCAACCTGGAGGCTCTCCAATCCCCACAGTTCAGGGATTTTTATGGAGGCTTCATCAGGTAGGTATAATTGATTAGAAACTCAATCTCCATCCCCTTTCCCTTCCCTGGAGGTGGTAGGGCAGAGAGGCTTAAAGTTCTAACCCTCTAATCACATGCCTGGTTCCTCTGGCAACCAGCCCCCATCAAAAAGCTATCTAGGGACCCATCATGAGTAGTCTTATTAGCATATAAAAAGACACTCATTAATTCCAGAGATTTCAAGGAACTTAGAAGCTCTTATGTCAGGAACCAGGGACTAAGACTAGATATTATATTTTAAAATGTTCCTATCATCCCTATTACTCAGGAAACTACAAAGGTTTTAGCAGCTCTTGTGCCAAGAACTGGGGATACAGACCAAATATATATTTCTTATTATATCATAATATCACACATACAATAAAGGGAAGGGAGTTAGAACTCCTAAAGAAAAAATATTTTCATTATTATTTCTTTACTGTGAAATATTTTGTGTTCTTTATAACTTGATAAAATACTGAGACTTCTAAGACCAACAAATATAAACTGCATTTATTGTGTAAAATTAAGAATGGCTCAGGCTCTATAATGGTAGTTGGATATAAGATATGATAAACCTCAGCTTCTAGAAGAGTTGATTTTGAACTCAATCACCCTTTGAGAGAAGACATACCAGCTCGCATAATTTCATCAACCAGGAGAATGTTGGTGGCAATCACTGTGCTGAGGAAAAAGATTGGACAAAGTGAGTAAGCTTACCAACCCACTCTTATCTTTCCCCCCAGCAATCTTCAGCTACTAAAGGCACTTTGTTCTGCAGTGATGTTGCTATGAGATAAGACAAAGCTATTGTAAGTACAAACCTAACCCTTTGTATTATAATTTCACCCCCTTTGCTGATAAGAGTAGAAGCCTGATTTCATATTCCAGCAAAACTGAGCTCACTTTTAGCACATCATTTGATTTTTTTCCCACTATGCATGTGGCCTTATGTCAGTAAACTCCCTTCTTTCCCTTCTCCCTCAAATAAACAGTAAGAGGAACATTTCCTATAACTTACACTGCTAGAACTAAAATGTAAAAAGGACTATAAAATAACAGAAGTTAGTCTTAATACTGGATACCATGCCTTTTCATACACTCAACAATTTTTCCACTATAGCAGAGCAAAAATAATAGAAAAATCTTTATGTTATCAATTATGTCCCTAAAAGTCTTTCTCTTTTATTATTACAAACTTACCAAGAGTGAAGAAGTTGTTTTTTCACACAATAATTATCCCAAACGCCTGCATCTGCTGCTACCATTGGCTCACCTGCAAAGTAACAACAAACTATTTCAGTATTACAATCCTGACACGTTCTGTTAATATTGGTTGCATATTCTAACGATATTTAAATGTACCATCAAAACTACTATTGTCAAGGTCACCAATGACCTCCATGTTGTCAAATCCAACAGTCATCTCTCAGGCCTCCTCTGTCAGCAGCACCTGACACAGCTGACCACACCCTCCCGACCACTCTTTACTTCTCTTCCAGGACACTGCATCTGCCTGGCTTGTTCCTTTTGCACTAGTGGCTCCTCTTCTGTGCTTCAGTGGCTTCACTGGTTCTTCCTGTTCCCCCTGAGCTCTTAATGCTGGAGTAACCAAAGGCTCAGTCCTCGACTCTTCTCTTCTCTCTCTACAGTCACTCCAGAGGTGATCTCAATCAATCTTCTGGATTTAAAACATGCATACTCTGACGACTCTTTTGAGTTTTTATCTCCAAGCCAGACCTCTTTCTTGAGCTCCAGACTTGTACATCCAACTGTCTATTTTACTTTAATTCCTACAGACACTTCAAACTTCACTTTGCCAAAACTCAGTGCTGATCTCCCATCACCACAACCTGCTCTACCCCCAGTCTTCTCCAATATAGTTAATGGCAATTTCAATCTTCCAGTTGTTCAGTTGATTCCTCTCCACAGAGTAGCAAGAGTGATCCTTTTAAACAGAATTAGACTGTCACACCTCTGTTCAAAACTGCTCCCTCTCCTACTGCAGAAAAAGTCAAAGCCCTTAGACTGGCCCACATACCCCTGCACGATCTGATCTTCTATTACCTCTCTAATCTCTTTCCTCCTCAAAAACATCAGACACTGGCTTTCCACTGGCTGTTCCTCCTACCTAGTTCCCACATGGCCAACTTCCTAACTTCCTTTGATTTTGTTCAGCAGACATTCTCAACGAGGCCTACCCTGGCTACCTTCTTTAAACTGAAACCCCTTCCCCACGCTCCCATGCTACCATTCACAGTCATCCTTATACTACTCCTTTATTTTTTTCACAGAATTTATTACCTTTAAAAATGCTAAAGGTACTTACTTATTAAGGTTATTATTTACTGCATATCCTTCCCTGCTATACCATAAGCTCACAAGGGCAAGGATTTTTGTCAGTCTTACCCTGTATGAATCCAAAAAGTCAAATAATAAGCACTCCATAACTATCTCTTAAATGAATGAATATTTTCTTTTAGGAAGTTCAAAAGTAAACTAAAAGCACACAAAACTTAAATATTAAAGTCATCCAAACCTCCACCCCCTTGCTGTAAGTTCTGGATGTAGTATAACCTCTTTTTTTCATTAAGCAGCTAGTTTTTCTTCTCTTTCTTACCTGTATTCAAATCAATGCCAACAGGTTGTTTTGATTCTGAATGCTCAGCCTGAACTTTTACTAGTGTTTCTTGCAGGTCATAACCAGAATTCTGAGCAAGAACCTTTAGGAATAAAAATAATAATAAATGTATCTATGGAATACCTTCATATATATTTGAACACCAGATATAAAAAATAAGGTACTGCTCTCTAAGTCTTGTGAAGACATATCCATAATATAGTAGTAATCTCCTTCTGAAGAATTCCATTCTTAATCTAAACCAAATTATTATTTTGTCTATCTAGTAGTTTTTATATTTACTTAAATATTTTCCCTATGTATATCACACCAAATTCTGAGGAAGACATTAGAGTTTCCCCTTCCCCTACCCCAAAACATTAATTTCCCTCCTCACAAAAAATTTTAAATGGAAGGAAGTAGTATGGTATTCTTATTTTCTCTAGTCTCCTTAGCCACACGTTTTCCACTTTTTCCTGAGCACTTGCTAAAGGAAACCTGCCTATTTGCAGCATACCTATGCCCCTCATTCACACGAGGAGAGTCATAACCTGTGGCAACAGGGATGGAGATACCTGCACTCCAAGCCAGGCTTACTTCCAAGTGATCCTAAACCAACAAATGATGAGTGAAAAGGTACCACCAAGCGTATACCAGATTTACCAATGTGTGTCAACTACAGGATCATTATTTGCTGACTTTGCCCTTTGGGGGAAGAAAAAATAAATATCTGATTCACAAAGATTCCACAAACTATGGATAATTTTAAAGCAATTATCAAAAAGACTTTGCTAGCATTGTTAGTAATGTTTTAATTCATGGATATAGAATATTTGAAATAGTTTTTCTGTGTTTCTAAGTGGTTCACAACTAAATTAAAGCAAAGGAAAAAAGGCAGTTCTCTGTCCTTCTGTTGATACATGGAAAAAATCTGATTTCTCTCCTTTTCTAGGAATTATAATGACTACAAAAATGCAATCTAGTATTTGGGAGTGCTAAACAGCCTGAAGTTCTCAATTCCCACAATTTAAAGTGATAATACTTTGTGTACCACCAACAAAATAAAGGTCTACTCAAAATCTAAATTCTAAGTTCTAAACTTTTTCATTATGATTAATCATGAACCATTTTTGAAAAAAAAATTAGAGTTAACATAACTTTTGTAGCTCAGAGATGGAAGTAAAGTGGTAATTTAGCCATTTCATGAAACTCCTACAAGGATTCAGAACTGTTATCCCAAATGCGTCCCTCCTTTAGCTGTAGAATAGCTTAGACAAAACTGTGTGGGGAAATACAAGTAAATACCTGACTTTGTACTCTGCTGCTAGATAACACGAGCAATTTAAAATTAAACATCTTATGTCTAATCAGTCGTTCTTTGGCCATTAGGATAGTTGTACCTTAGGGATAATGAGTAAAGCGTCAGCAAAAGCCTGGACCCCGAGACGAGCTCTTCCTTTTATACTGTGCTTGTGCGCATCTAGAGCTTCAGCTATTGCCACTTCAACTGCACCCGCTCCTGGAACCACACAACCTATTGCAGGAAAAAAAAATGATTGGTAAGACATACTACACAGACAAAACAGAGAAAAAAATAACTAGCTATTCAATTGTGTTCTATTATCTTGCCTACATGTATAATGGATTTAAATATATACAGAAATAAAATAAGTTGCACAGCTCAGTGATTACTCAGATGTCTTATGAAATATCCTGAAGTTATACACCAGTAGATAATTAACCGTAGTTCAGACAACTGGCTACAAACAGCTTATTTCATTGCTTGTAAAAGTCAACATTTCTTCCACCTTCATCTTTCTCCTTTATGACTACATTTAAAAAGCAGTCATTTATAATTTACAGTGGCATATAATTACAAAACCTGATTTGGAAAAAATTTTAGGCCAAGGTAATCTGGCCATAGTTTTTGGCATAGAATTCTTGGGATTCAATGAAGTATCTGTTTTCTATACTGGAGTAGAACCCAAACTGCTACCTGAGAAAAAAAATGTAGGAGTTCTTATTATTCTAAGCAAAAGCTCTGGTTAAACACATCAGTTTTCATATCAGGATATGACTTTTATACCTGCTTGTATGGTTTTATAAAATTTGTAACTCTGAATCAGCAAACTTGCTTTGGAATCACCTGTCTTTAAAACAAAAAAACACAAAAAGAATCTCTCCTTTTATCTTATATCATTCTTAAATTACTACCCCCTTTCTCTGCTTCACTATACAATATAGCCGCTAAAGAGATTTCTCTACCCACAAGGTAATTACATCCTCATCTCCCATTCACACTTTTTAAAAGTTCCTTGTTAAATACTGAATACACACAAAAGAATATTTACATGTATAAGGTATAAAGAATAAATGTACCCATGTACTTAACACCTAGCTTAAGAAACAGAACATTACCAGTAGCTTTGAAAGTTTCCTTGATCCCCTTCTCCTGTGAAAATACAACATATCAAAATGTGTGGGCTGCTACTAAAGCAGTACCAGAAGAGAAATTTATATCACTAAACACCCATATTAGACAAGCAGAAAGGTCTCAAACCAATGACCTCAACTTCCATCTTAGGAAACTAGTAATGGAAGAGCAAATGAAACCTAATGTAAGCAGAGGGATGAAAATAGTACTGATGAGAGTAGGAATCAGTGAAATAAAAATGACCAATGTCAGAAAAGAAATGGTATAGAAATCTGCCACTACAGATTCTACAGATATTAAAAGGATAGTAAGGAAATATTATGAACAACTTTATGCCAATAAATTTGAACACTTAGATCAGGGGTTGGCAAACTTTCTGCAAAAGGCCAGATAATAAATATCTTAGGCTATGTAGGCCATACCATCTCTTTTGCAACTATTCAGTTCTGCTGGCATAGCACAAAGTTACAGACGATACATGAACAAATGGGTGTAGCCATGTTCCAGTATAACTTTATTTATCAAAAACAGGCAGCAAACCAGATTTAACTCACGGGCAGTATGATCTTAGATGAAGTGGACAAATTTCTTGAAAGACACAAGGCTCACTTAAGAAAAAAAAAGATAACCTGAATAGTCCTGTATCTACTGTAGTTAAGTCTGTAGTTTAAAATCCTCCCATGAAGAAAACCAGGTCCAGACGGCTTTACTGGCTAATTCTACCAAACATTTAAGGAAACACTAATATCAATTCTACACAAGAATTCAACACTTTCATAACATTAAAGAGGAAAGAATACTTTCCAACTCATTCGTATGAGGCCAGCATTATTCGAAAGGCAAAAAAGATAAAGTCATCACAAGAAAAAAATATATACAAACCAATACCCCTTACAAATGTAAATGCAAAAATTCTTAATGGAGTTTTAGCATCAAATCCAATAATGGATGAATGGATAAATAAAATGTGGTATATGCATACAATGGAATGTTATTCACCTTAAGAAAGGAAGAAAATTCTGACGCAGGCTACAGCATGGATGAACCTGAAGACATCATGCTAAGTGAAATAAGAAATAAGAAATGGACAAATACTTTAAGATCCTATTCATACATGGTACATAGACCAGACAAATTCATAGAGACAGGATGAAGAATGGTGGTTTCCAGGGACCAAGGGGAGAAGAGAATGGATTTATTGTATTACAGAATTACAGTTTTGCGAGATGAAAAAAACTTAGTATACCCACATACTAAAACATATAAAATATTGCTGAGACAGAGTCAAGAAAACTCAAATAAATAGAAAGATGTACCGTAACTCAATATTGTTAAGGTATCAGTTATCCCCAAAATGATCCACAGATTCAATGAAATTCCAGTTAAAATCCCAGTAGTTTTTTGGTAGAATTTGACAAGCTGATTCTAAAATTGATGTGAAATGCAAAGGATTTCAAATAACCAAAATAACTTAAAAAGATAAAATGAGAGGATTAACACTACTGATTTCAAGACTTCTTATAAAGCTATCACAATCAAGATAGCATGGTATTAATATTGAGACAAAAAAAGAGATCAGTGAAACAGAATAATAGAACCACACAAATCTGGACAACTGGTTTCCAACAAAGATGCAAAGGGAACTCAGTGGTGAAAGGACAGTCTTTTCATCAAATGGAGCTGAAACAACTTGATAACCATGCACACACACAAAAACGAATTTAGGCAGAGTGGGGAATAGCTTCACTGACTGAGTGCATGCCTAGAACGCACAAGGCCCTGGGTTCAATCCTCAGTACCTCCATTAAAAAAATTAATGAATAAATAAACCTTTAAAAATATTTTTTGTTTTATTTTATTGAGTTAAGTCAGTTTACAATGTTGTATCAATTTCCAGTGTAGAGCACAATTTTTCAGTTATACATGAAAATACATATATTCATTGTCATATTCTTTTCACCATGATAAAAATATTTTTAAATGTTAAAAAGAAAACTTAGATCCATACTTTGAATCATATTTAAAAATTAACTTAAAATGAATCATAGGCCTATATGTAAAATCTATGACTTTAACGTTTCTAAAAGAAAACATAGAAGAAAAATTTTGTGACTCTGGATTAAGTAAAGATTTTTTAGATATGACCCAAAAGCATAATCCATGAAAGAAAAAAATACATAAACTAGACTCCATCAAATTAAGAAATCCTCTTTGAAAGACACTGTTAAAAGAATAACGAAGAAGCTACAAAGTAGCAGAAAATATTTGCAGATCATATATCTGAAAAATTTGTATCCAGAATATATAAAGAACTCTGAAACTCAACAAGAAAACAAACAACTCAATTTTTAAAAGGGCAAAAGATGTGAACAGAAATTTCACCAAAGATATCTAGATAGCACATAAGCACATGAAAAGATGCTCAAGATCATTAGGAAAATGCAAATTAAAACCATGATTTTTTTTTAATTTTAGAATGGCTAAAATTAAAATGAAATAGATAAACAAGATTATACTGTATAGCACAGGGAAATATATACAAGATCTTGTGGTGGCTCACAGTGAAAAAAAAATGTGACAGTGAATATATGTATGTTCATGTATAACTGAAAAACTGAGCTCTACACTGGAATTGACACAACATTGTAAAATGACTGTAACTCAATAAAAAAATGCTTAAAAAATAAAATAAAATAAAATGACTAACCAGTGGTGTGTATAGCTCAGTGGCAGAGTGCATGCTTATCATGCATGAGATCCTGAGTTCAATCTCCAGTGCCTCATTTAAAAAAAAAAAAAGCCAGTATCTCCTATTAAAATTCTTTTAAATAAACCTAATTATCCCAATAAAAAAATTTGAAATAAAAAAATTTTTTAAAAACTAAAAAATCCCCCCAGAAATCGATACTTATGTTTTAAAAATAAAATTAAATAAAATGACTTGGCGAGGATACAGAACTGGAATGCTCATAAACAGCTGGTAGGAATGTAAATGGTCCTTGGCAAAACAGTTCGGCAGTTTTAATAGCTAAGAACTGTAACAATCAAATATTCATCAACTGGCGAATTTGATGAACCAAATTGTAGTACATTCATATAATGAAATACTATGTAGCAATAAAATGAATGAACTACTGATAAATATAATGACATCAATTAATTTAAAAGTAATTACACTGACTAAAAGAAGCCAAACCAAAAAAGAATACATACTGTATTATTCCATTCAAAAGTCTGGAAAATCTAATCTATAGCTCCTAATCCATAGCAACAGAAAGCCGACTCGTGGTTGGCTGAGCATAGGGTGATGCTGGGAGAGGCAGGAAGGAAAGATTACCGAGGGGCAATGAGATAACTTTTGGGGGTGATAAATATGTTCATTATCTTGATTGAAGGGACAGGTTCATGGCTGTACACTTTAAATATGTATAGTTCATTGTATGTCAATTTTACCTTGATAAATCATTTCTTTAAAAACTAAGTGCTTAAAGTGACTTTTAAAAAAAAAACATTTTTCTTTGTATTCTAAATTCTAAGAATCGGGTTGAACTACCAAAGGCTTCATGCCTGAATCATATTTATTTATGTTCTTGAAAACATGCTGCTGGCTTTTATCAAAAGTGACTAAAAGAAGGAGGCGCTTATTTCAAGCCCCGTATTTTTTCAATTTAGGAACTGCTGTGTTTTCTCCTTTTCAATAATGAAACCTATGTTACTGACTATATTTCTTTATGTTCTGGTAGCTTAAATATTTATAGTGACTATTATGTTTGCTAAAAAAGAATTCATATTTTTTTCCTAAGTTCTAATTTTCCATTTCAGGTTTTATTTTGCTATTAGTTCACATCTATGTTTTTACTTATAAGACAAATCTGATGTATTGTTTATAGAGTTTATTACTCTGTTTTTTGAGATACAATTCATAAATTCAGCCTTTTAAAGTGTTCTCTTCAGTAGTTTTTAGTATATTCACAGAGTTGTGCGATCATCACCACTCGCTAATTCCAGTAGCAATCATACCCTATTTCCCTTTCCCCAGTCCCTGGCAATCACTAATCTACTTTTTGTCTGTGTGGATTTGCCTTTCCTAGATTCATATAAATGGAATCATATATCACATAGACTTTTGTGCCTAGATTCTTTAACTTAACATAATGTTTCAAGGTCATCCTTGAGGTAGATATGTGTTGTACCATATATTAGTATTTATTCCTTTATAATACTCCATTGTATGGATATATCACATTTCATTTATTAATTCATCAGCTAATGAATATTTAGATTGTTTCCACAGTTTGGCTGCTCTGCACATTCATGTCTAAGTTTTTTGTGCGGACATATGTTTCCAACTCACTTGTGGACACATCTAAGAATTGGTTTGCTGGGTCATATAATAACTCCATGTTTCACCTTTTCAGGAACTGCCTAAATGTTTTCCAGCAGTTTCCACCAGCAATGTATGAGGGTTCCAATTTCTCCATATTTTTGTGAACATTTATTATCATCAAGCTTTTTGACAACAGCCATCCTAACAGTTGTGAAATGGTATCTCTTTGTGGTTTTGATTTTCATTTCCCTAACGATTAATGATGTTGAACATCTTTTCATGTGCTTATTATTCTATTTTAAACATGTGTGTTTTTATTGAATTATCTACCCTAACTCCTTTTAGAAGGCTGGCAATAAATTATCAATAAATAATAAATGCTAATATTCTTTCCTAATCTTTCTTAAAAGTACACTGCACCTGAGGTAATAAAGCTCAATGAAGTCATGAGGGTGCAAAGCTTTAAAAGTTTTTCATGGTTTTAAAACTTAATTTGTAAAAAAGAAAGATACCACAGCATTAAATTGAGGGTATTTCATTTAATAAATAGAAATTAATTTTAAAAGTACCATAATATTTAGAATATTCCAAGAGAAAACTTCACAATCCAAACTATAAATTGTCCAAAGTGAAATGAAAGAATAGTAGTCATTCATATCTTTTAAAATAATATAAATACCATGATAGACTTACTACTATTTTAAAAATACATGAGGTTCATATCTATCACAAAAAAAGAACTTACCATCTTCAATGGCATTTTTGATAGCACGAAGTCCATCTCTCACAGCATCCTTGATTTGTGTGAGAGTATGCTTATTTGGTCCTTTAACCAACAAGGTGACAGAGAGAGGGTTAACACAGTCCTCGATAAAAGTGAACTTTTCCTCACCCTAGAGGATAACACAAGACATAAAACTTAATATGTAATGTCAGTATGAAATCAAGACCTAGTTTATAATACTAGAATCCAATCTTCATGTGAATTTTTCTTACGACACATAATTAAATATGTATTAAAAGCAGTTAAGTTATATTTGAACTCTTAACATTTAGGGAAGTAAATTATAAAATCTGTCCTGTGGAGTCTTGAAATATAAAACGTGAATTAAAAGGTTTAATTAAAAAAAAAGGATACTGTTCACTTTATAACCACTATCCATAGAAATACTCACTAATGTATACTCATGTACAAGACCAGCATGTCCCAAGCAATCTACACTGAGGTCTTCAAAAGAATTCACGGCCATTCCACCACAAGCAAGAGAGAGTCTGAAATTACATGTATGTCACCACAGCTTTGGTTATGGAAAACATAAAAGACTAATTTCTTAAATGTGAAAAGATACCTAACACAGAAGACTGCATTATCACTGTATTGCACTGTTTTTTAAATCCATTTTAAGAAGACGAAAACCTTCTGAGGTTTGGATGAGAAAAAGTTCTGAGGTAGGTTAACAAACTTGATTTTTGCCAGTTCCATTATTTACCGAAATTACAAACAAAATTTTGAATTTGTATGCTACTACTTTGCTCAACAACATTTACATATAAGCTAAAAGGAATACATATGGGATAATTTCAGTTTAGCCTGTTAAAAAATTTAGGATACATAATTATCTGCAAGCTTACCTTTCCATATTTCTTCTTTTTGCTCTGCGAAGAGCTACTATGCCGTGTTTTGCAAGAGCATCTAAGGAAAGTGGATCAATTCCCTATAATCAAATTAGCATAAAAGTTACAAGCATGTTTTAAGACAGTAGTTCTCAAACTTTTGGGTCTCAGCACCACTTCACAAGCTTAAAAATTATTAAGAACCCAAGAAGCTTTCATTTATATGTACTGTATATATAATATTTATCACATTATAAATGAAAATTGAGATACTTTTGAAATATGTATTAATCCACTTAAAATAATAATAAACTCATTTATGTTAACATAAATAACATTTTAATGAGAATTTATCATAATTTCCTAACAAAAAATATATAGTAAGAGTAGTGGCATTGTTTTACATTTTGGCAAATCTTTTTAATATCTATCTTAATAGAAAACAGCTGTATTTTCATATTTGCTTCTGCATTCAATTTGGTATGGTACATTGTTTTGGTTAAAGTACATGAAGAAAACCTGGCATCACACAGATATGTGCTGGAAAAGGGAGGAACATCTTAATACCCTTTTCCAATAAATGTGTATGTTCTTCAATACTATACTAAAACTCAACAAGGGGTAGCTTCTTAAAGGTTAGTTCCAAAGTAGAAGATAAAACTTTATGAATGAACTTTTCATACTTCTTCACATTAAAATCCATTTGTCTGATGACTGGATAAAGAAGATATGGTACATATATATAATAGAATACTACTCAGCCAAAAAAAAAAGAATAAAATAATGCCATTTGCAGCAACAATGGATGGGCCTGGAGATAGTCATTCTAAATGAAGTTAGCCAGAAAGAGAAAGAAAAAATATATGATATTGCTTATATGTGGAATCTATAAAAAAAAGATCAAATGAACTTATCTACAAAACAGAAACAGACTAACAGACACAGAGAACAAATTTAATTACCAGGCGGTAAAGGGGGTGGGAAGGGATAAATTGAGAATTCGAAATTTGCATCTCTTGGGGATTGATGGAAATGTTAGCTATCTTGTTTGTGGTGGTGGTTTCATTGGTGTATACATCTATCAAAATTCATCAAATTGTACATCTGAAATATGTGTAGTTTACTGTACAGAAATCACACCACAATAAAGGTGTTAAAGAAAAAAAAAGATGACTCATCAGAACAAAAATCAATTTGTCTATCTTGCACTTTAAATTAATTATTGATTTTGTTAAATCATGCATTTTTTTAGTCATTTATAAAATACTGGTTCACTAAGTTAAGACAGACCTCCAGATGGTTATACAATATCAAAAATATCACATTTTCTAATATCATCACTAATATTACCAGAAAAGTCTTTTAATTATCCAGAAAGCAGTTAAGCTTACAGTGGCAGGTACAAGTTTTCCAACATTCTAATTTTTGTTGAAAGCTCAAATGTTATCATTGCCAACAAATACCACCTGTTGTTTCCTTAAAGTGACATGACTGCTTCATTCATTTCTGAGAAAAACCTACCAAATACCCATGTCTAAATAACCATTCTGTCGGTCATTCTTTCAAGTGAAAATGACATTTCATGAAAAGTGGCTAGTTTACTTTGGAACTTAATTACACAAGAGCATTCTTTCAAGACCCTTCTTTTGATATGCAGCAGAAGTATTCTGTGCATACTTCACATTTTGTCACAAAGAATTATAGAAGGATGCACCCACTCCTGGGTATATACCCAGAAAAAACAAAAATACTAATTCAAAAAAGATACACACACCCCAGTGTTACTAGCAACGCCATTTACAACTAAGACAAGGAAGCCATCCAAGTGCTCATCACTTAGGATGACTGGATTAAGATGTTTTATACACACACACATATATATGTACAATGGAATATTAGCCATAAAAAAGAATGAAATACTGCCATTTGCAGCAACATGGATGAACCTAGAGAATATTATGCCTAGTGAAATAAGTTAGACAGAGAAAAACAAATACTGTATGATATCACTTACATGTGGAATCTAAAAAATAACACAAATAAATGTATATACAAAACAGAAACAGACTCACAGACATAGAAAACAAACCTGTGGTTAACAAAGGGGAGAGGGAAAAGGGGAGGGCCAAATTAGAGGTATTGGAAACAGATACAAACTACTATACATAAAATAGATTAAGTAATAAAGATATACTGTATAGCACAGAAAATCATACCCATTATCTTGCAATAAACTATAATGGAGTATAATCTGCAAAAATACTATCACTATGTTATATACCTAAAACTAACACAATATCGTAAATCAACTATACTTCAATTAAAAAATAAAATATTATGGTAGCTCACAGTGGAAAAAAAATGTATGACAATGAATATATGTATGTTCATGTATAACTGAAAAATTGTGCTCTACGCTGGAATTTGACACGACATTTTAAAATGACTGTAACTCAATAAAAAATGTTAAAATGAATAAATAAATAAAAGGATGCATATATAAAGATCAGAATAAGTTTTACCACTTCATCAAGACATTCTTAAAAGAACCAGCCCTTTTTGTGTGTATGGTGATATGACAGTAAAGAATATGATGACTACTGGTACAATTTGGTGCTACTGTGTTGATTTGTACTAAGGCACCAGCAGTTTTACCTACCGCTGCTTTTGCTTCATCATGGCAGAAGTCAACACAATGTAAATTTATGGCGTTATAATTAATATTATGAAAATAGTTTTGACCTCACAGACCCCCTGAAATGGAATCCACAAACCACACTTTGTAAAACACTGAAGAACATTTTACAAACAGTTAAAATCTAAACTTTTCTCACCTTTTGATTAATGACAACAAATCCTTTATTAGACTGAGCACAGACTTTGTCTTTCAGGTCTATTATTTTTTGCACTCTATCTTCAATAAATTTTCTTTCAGCTTTTACCAACTTCTCTTTCTCTTCTGCAGTCTTATAAAAGAAACCAGAGCTCACCTCTCTAAAAGATTAATAAAAAACAAGCTAGTGAAGGCAAGGAGGGGTTGGGAGAGGAAAAGGTAGAAAGAGTTTACACTAAACATTTGAGAAGCAAAAAAAGAATCAAAAAATACTTTCAGAAAAAACAATCTCAAAAGTTACAAAGAGTAACTGATACACGTACGTTTTTTCATATTCTAGTGATACATTACAAGTAAGGATAAATGCATCTTCTACTCGCTTCTTCATATCTGGATGACGGGCACCATGATCCAAAACTAATCCTCTGATCAACCTATTAAAAACATGTAATGTT